TAGAATAAGTTAGCAACTATCCCTGATGTCATAAACTACACTTGCATCTTAATCTTTGGAACTTAGGAATGAGAAAGTGGAAGAAATTTTACTTTCACACGGCTGCACTGATGTCACAGCTGATACTGTTAATCACAATATATAGCATCACTAGTCAGTATTCTAAAAGCTCTAATTCTACCAAGAACAGCTTGGCCAAGTTGATACCCACTAACTTAAAATCCTTGATTTTGGGTCAAGGTCAGGGGTTCAAATCTTTGTAATGCTAAGTAGCTAACTCTCTGATGTACCCAAAAAAAAAAAAAAAGCTCTAATTCTTCTTCTGTTTCTTTGACATGTAAAATATGTTAACTACCATCACTTTGCAATTCCTTTCAGCACCTATTCTGCAGCTTTTTTTTTTCCTGCGAGTATTCCATTTTATAGTATGGTTCTTTTGCTCGGTCAGGCTGTGGGTAGATGTTTTAGTCTTAGGTATATCTATTGTGGGAGCAGTAGGATTCATATATATATATATATATTATATTATATTTTGATGAGCAGTAGAATATATATATATATGAATAGCCAGACTTTTGTGGGGTTCTGGACATCATATTCAGATGTTCTAGATCTCAATGCTTCTTTCTGTGGTACTTATGATGCTGATAGATAAAAGCAGGTTATATATTCAAGTGGGTATTGAATTGGTGAAACAGGTTGGAAGAGCTCATCTCAGACTGTCTTCAGCAGAATACACATAATGATGCACTTCAGATTGAACTTGCAAAACATCGAGAGCAGAATGAGACTTTAGAGAGAGTATGTGTCTATATTTTTTTGTTTTCTTCTTAAGACAATATCTTAAACACTGGCTAGGTTATGTTCTAAGGCTGTATGATGCATGCAGGTTATTATGGTTTCTTAGCTTGAAGTAGAAAATGTGGTTCAGATGTTGCTTTGAAATTTTAAGTGAACTCTGCTTATTTTAAAATATTTCCTTTTAAAAAAATGGAGTGGACATCTTTTTTCAAGTTTCAACCCTAGCAAGATTGGTTCTTGATTGACATTCTGCTCCACTTTAACTTCTATTCCTCTCTTCAAAAAATTATTCATATGTTTTATACTAAAGAAGTGACTGATGCACTCATACATAAGAGCCTAACAAGTTTCAAATTTTTTGTATAATCTCTTATCCTCTTTGCAATTCATACCATCAGTAAAGCATATTTTTTCTAAAATGTATTTAGTGCTCCCATCTTCTTTTTCTTTTTTCTTTTTTTTTTTCTCCTAGGTCATCTTTTTCTCTTTTAGCTATTATGGTAATATTTTCCCTTTGGTAATATTTTAAACAGGTAATTGATAAGTTTTATGGGATCAGGCAGCATGTTTTTGGGGAATTGGAGGATATAAGTTGGGACGATAAATGTGCCTGCCTCTTGAATGATCCTGCAGAATCATGGACTTTCAATGATTCTTCCACAGCCAAGTACATTGTAAGTTTACGTAACTTCAAACTTTTGCTTTACTCTTTCAGTATGGTCACCTTCTGTTTATTGGTTTATGAGTGACCTTTCATTAAACTGTTTTATTAATGTTATAGAATTTTGTACAGTCAAGTCATGCTCCTAGACTTTTTGTATTTCAGTTTTCTTTAATTTCACCTGTATATCTTAATATCTGTGTTAGTAAACTATGTAAAATATTTCTCTGTTATTGGTGTCCTGGTTTTTTATCAAATCGAACCCTTTTGATTGATCTGATGGCTTATAAATCATTGTTTCTTGGCCATCAAAAATTGACTTTAATCAGTTTGTTAAGTCAAGTCCTTTTTATATTCTGAGGAAAAAGGCACTTTTTATATTTTGGTTGATTTTAGTTGATTCTTATCTAGTCAAATTACTATTTCTATGGTGCCTATAATAGACTCCTGCCTTTCTTCCAAAGTTGTAGCCACATGCTAACCGTATTAGATTTTTAAATAGTTAACATGCTTTCAAATCAAGTCCTACAAATTAAGCCTTTGAAGCTAATTCCTACAAATTAAGCCTTTGAAGCTAATTCTTGACTTCAAATAACCTTCAAACTATCTAAACTCAACTAAATCTAGTCCTTATCCATTTACTGATGGTTACTCTACTTTTTACCATAACCAAAAACCACGAAATTTTCTCAACCAAAGCCCACCTTGATAGCTAGTTAGAAGATCTTAGTGGAAAAGAAAAGCAATGCACATATTCTATTTGTTGATTGCGTGATGAATATGATGGCATGCTTGTAATTTTCCAAATCTAACCTATAGAACCAAAGTTTTTCTTTCCAAAATGAAACCTGAATAACTTTCCCTCAGACAGAGTTCACTGGAAGAAGAGCTAGAGAGATTGAGGCGTGCAGTGGATAATCTTCAAAATAAATTAAGAATGGTATGCCTATTTTTTTAGGCTTAGTTTGTTTTTGCTTTTCCTGCATTAAATTGTCTGCTCATATTTATCAAAAATGGTTTTCTTTTGGATGCTAGGGTTTGGAGATAGAAAATCATTTAAAGAAGAGAGTTCGTGAATTGGAGAAGAAAAGAGTGAGTACTTCATTGCTATAATATTTTAACATTGATAAAGAAAAATCTTTTGATCTGTTATTTCTTTTTCATTATGATTGTTTTTAATCTTTGACTGGTTGATTTGCACGCAGATAGCTTCAGACAATATGATCTTAAACAAAATTACAGAATTACGCCACTACCATTCTCAGCATAGGATTCAAATCATAAATTTGTTAGATGAGGGAAGATCCCATGTCAAATGGATTGTTGACGAGTTGGTAGCAAAATGCAGGCAGCTTGAGATGAAAGGGCAAAATTTGGAGCCTACTCACAGTGATGTCAAACTACCTGGATGCAAACATCGAGATGTAAATGTAAGTGCTGATGCTGGAGCCAACTTGGAATTTAAAGCTTGTCTGAGAGTCTAATGCCACCCTTTTTCTTGTCCTAGTACAGGCTCATACTCCATTCACTCTGCCTTATTTCTGCATCAATGCCAATCTTTTAAATCCTTTCTCAGGGGGGAATATTTCCCATGCTTCCCTTGCTCCTTGCTCTATAGATTTTACTCTGCCTGTTTTTCACATTGATTTAGAATTACGTGGCAGCTTTGGCATGTAAACACAAATATGTTTTGTAAGGGGAAGTGGTTCTAGATATTGATCATCATTTGATAATTCTCTCATTCTTGGATGTTCTTGCCTCTATATTTCTCTTATCATTTTGGAAAGACTGAGTGATATAAATTATATGAATAAAAGCTGGCTATATCTTGCAATTACCACCGTAGTTGTTCTTGATCCTTTTTAAAACACAATAATAATAATTTTTGAACAGCCAACACTTAATAATAAATGATACCATGAGAATTGTATTGAAGAAATTTATTAGGTTGACTAGCATCCGAAGCTGATGAGAAGGAAGATGGCTTTCTGTTTCATTTTTATTCTGTTCCAATCTCGTTCAGCTGCTTTAGCTGATTCTTGGTTGCTTGACCACATGTTCTTTTACTCAACGGAGCCCATTGGTCTTCTGAAAACCTAGTGGCACATCTTTTTTTCCCCCCCATAAGCAATAGCCCTGTGCCTTGTTCATACTATTTTATTTGACTTAAGAATCTTCAGTGTGTTTAAAATACTAATCTTTAATAGTATTTCTTGTGGTTGGTCTAATGTTGTTATGCAGTGATGGTTTCTTGGGTTTTGAAGCATTCTGCATTCAGTATTTCATTGCTCTTATACCATGCAATCTCAAACTTTCCTGATTATTTTGCAGTTGGGGATGCCTGACTTAACCTCAGAAGCCCT